CTCGGCTCGTTTTCGGCTCGTTTACACCCCTATTTATTTCATATGTTTTGTTTTTTTTTACTGAAAATTTTATAAAATGAATAGATTTGTAATCTTAATGAAATAAATAAGATTAAAAATTTTGATTTTATGTGAAGTATTACACCATAAATTTCACTGTATAATGTTGGGAGATGTAAATTATAGAAATTAATTCCAAAGATCTGAAATAAACTTTTGATAAAAAATGTATAAAATAAGAAAATCACAAGAAAAAAAAACACAAGATTTAATTTGGAAAAATTGAGGAAGGGAAAAAATTCAAATCTATAAGAAATCCATTATAAAAAAATAAGAATCTTATAAATTACACCACACACTTTTTCACACTTTAGAACATTCTAGAACACTCCAGTCTTTTTTGCCCCCAAAATCTAACATATTCCAATTAGAAAAAAAAAAACACACACACACACACACTAAAGAAATAAGTGTCCAAAATTAGTTACAAATGTCGAGGCGCCGCGGAGTTCCAATGGGTAATGTATCCCGGTGTTCTAGTACCGTTTTCTCAAGTTCTAAAACTAGGTGCGGCAACACCATCTTCCGTGTCGTGCATTAGTGCTGTTGGTCTTAGGGCTAGAGCATTGCAGGTACGTTGTCTAGGTGTTATGTGCGAGAAAAAAATGTGGGAGGAACGAGTTCGGGATCCCCAAACAAACTCAATTTCAAGCTTGAGTAGCGAAATTGAGGTTTCTAAGATGGCAATTCATGGACACAATTGGACTCAACATAATAACATATAAGTAATATATTTTTTTTATAACTTTAGTTAAATAGGTTAATATGAAAATAATTAAAAAAAAAACTTTAATGATACCTCTCAAATTTAAATATCACTCTCCTAAAATTATTAGAAATAGATTTATTCTTTTCTCATATTATTTAAATTTAAAGTTTTAGAAAGCGTGAAAATATCATTTCAACAAGTTTTACATTGAAATTTCTTGGATGAGTTGCTTTTCTTTTTTTTTTTCCTATAACATTAAATTTTTAAATATGAGAAAAATATGTATACTACTATTTAAAAAGTAGTTTCTGATTCTACCAAGCTATTATCATTAAATCTTTATCTTTGATTTAGAAGGGTATTATAGAATTCCAAAAGTTACAATTTAAAGCAATATATACTATATTGAAATGAGACATTTGAATGGCATTCAACCTTCTAAAAATAAAAAATAAATAAAACATAAAATGAACAAAATCATAGTTTTTAATAAAAATTAATTATGTCATTTTTGTTTATTTTCCCGTGTCTCCTTTCTTGTACTATCAACTTAGATAGTATAAATTTTGATATATATCTAAGATCTCAAATTACTTAAAGCTATTGAAACAAACTATAATTGTAGTTTAAAATTGTTTTTTTTTTTAACTAAATGAAGTATAAAATGATTTGTACTCAATATCTTCGGCTTTGTAATTGATTTGATTGCCCCTATTCATGGTTAAGGGATTACATAAATATTAGTTGTAGATGATATCCTCATCTCTAAAGTACAAGAGAGATTTGATTTGGTAATGAGAAGAGTGTCTTTAATACTTAATGGGTTATGTTAGGAGTAACTAATTATTAAGCTTGTAATAAGAAAATTACAACCTAGTAAGCAGAAAGTGGTTGAAGCAACGAGCATCTCACTTTGAAGTAGAAGAGTTGAGTTACATTTACCTAAAATGACAACGTGGGCTCTATTGCTTGTGAGTGAGAATAATGTAAGAAAATTTCTCTGCTTATCCATGGAGTCATTGAGCGTGGTTCTATTTAGAAAACTCTAGCAAGAATCTTAAAACCATAATGGGCTAGACATAAATTCAAATAGCAATTGTGTGTCATGTACAACATAGATTTAAGTATTGTACATATTTATTTATCTTATCACTTATATTATATTATTTTCTTGTGAGTACAATCCATATTCTTATCATTTATGAAAAACTTTAAAAAAATTTATGCATCAACTAATCAAAGATGCATGCTCTTACATATAATATAAATTTATTTAGTTTATTATAACATTATTATTTGGATATATGTTCAAACTCATATAACTATGCTTATAATCATCTCACTCATAATAACTTAGACTTTTTAACACCATTGCATTTTAAACATTTATTTTTATTAAATTAGTATCACATTTATATAGTTGTGTAGTTAAGTATTATAAATATAGGTAAAATTGTGCTTAATTGAAGTTTCTTGGTAACATCTAATTATATATCTTTGGATTCTAGTGATAGCTTCACTTCCACAAAAAAAAAAAAAAAAAAAAAACTCTTTTTTTTAGCTCGTCATAGAATGCTCCTACTTGTGCTTTTGTAACGATGATATACCATATCATTAAAGTTAAACCATAAAGACACTTTGGCTCATCTTAATTGTTTGCTTCTCTGGTCTGTCCAGAGGGAACCATTTTTTCTGCAAAACCCTTTTAATATGTCCTTACTTTCCTCCTCCTTAATTTTTTACAGATTAGTAACCTCAACTCCACCTCCTTTTCTTCTCACTTATGTATATCTTCTACCTTCTCCTCCATAATTCCCTAACTTTTTATATTACTTCCCTCATTTCCCTATGATATCCTAAAGTTGGGTCCTTCTTTTCAAGACAACTTCCCACCCTTGATCTCTTCTTTTGGTCTTAACTCAAAAGGGTTCTCACCTCTTAAATTCCATACTCTAAGGATTTAAAACACAAATATGTCTAATGACAAGAGGAGTCTATAACTTTTTCTCGAGATAAACTTGGGGAGTGCTCCAAAGAATTGGAACTCTCATAGTCGAGTATTCACATTGAAAAAGGCCTTCCTATAATGCTTTGTTGGATATTAGAAAAAAATATAGACCATCAAATGTAACTTATTGCTTCTCTCATAATTGTAGGATTTTTTCTCCTTATATTCTACTTCATAGAACATTTCAATATGATCAAGATGGGAGTCCCATTATCCAACTTTAACAAACCTTTATTTTGTAGAAGTAGTCTTCCAACTTTAGACCCTTTAAAAAAGTTATCTTATCCCTTTATGGGTCAAAATGACTAATCTACCTCTCTTGCATTGTAATTCCTTTGCTATATTAATGTTAGTAGAAAAGTTGGCATACCACTTGTCATAGACACTCTCACAATTGATAAACCTTTTATTATGTTTGTGAGATTTTGTCACCTAATTATGAAGTCTATATATGCCTAAATGGTTATAACCATCATCACCTAATATGATCGATATCATGTACCCTGCTTTAATTTTGGCTCCTTTTTTTAAGCGTACATATGTGATCCACAAATCATGTTAAAGAGCATCCTTCACTAGTTCAAAAACATGGTTGCAATAAAATTTGCAATGCCAAGTGTCCACATAAAATCCCTTTGTTAGTTAAAAGTATCACTGTCTTTTCTTCTAAGGTTATCCTTCCTCCCTCCACACCACCAAACCATTCTCTATTAGCGCCCTCAACCATATTCCTAGATCTAAACTCTAGAGGCTAATCTACTTCAGTGATACACCCATCCTACCTCAAAATCCCCTCTTATTCCTCTTAGCCCCTGATTGATCTTTTCCATTTAGTATAACTTTTTTCTTAAGTTTATCAGCTCATCACCAAACAAAGTCTGCTCAAGATAAGACTCAAGTTTTCTCATTTTTTGAACATTATTCTTAACAATTTTTATTAACTTTTTTCTTACCTAAGGGCTATTTGGTCAGCTACAAAAGTGATGTACTATACTTTTTTAGGAGTTTTAAGATTTCAGATATTTGGTCAAAAGAAATAAAAATATAGTGTAAAATAATAATGCATTTGGAATTTACTCCTTAGTTCATTTTCTATGTATTTGGAATTTGACAAATTTGGGCAAATTTCAAATATGCAGCTTTATGTTAAGTATCAACGGTCAACCCAACTGTCATCGTTAGCAATCGCCTGCAAGTCATCATCACCCATCGTCGACAACCGTCTACTCTATCGTCATTGTCCATCATTTTTTGCCTTCTACAGTTGTTTGCTGCTTAAAATCACTATTGCCACCGCCACTCACCTTCTCTTGTTCACTGTTGTTGTCAACAACTGCTCACTGCCTAGTGCAAT